GTTGAATTTACGCAAAGAATTTTCTTATTTTAGGCGTTAATGGGTTAATCATTAAAATAATATTATAATATTTGGGGAGAGTGGGACAAACCGTCCAGATGTCAATATCTCCGAAATGACGAGATTGTCAAAACTGTTGTTTAGAATTTCAAAACAACCATGTGTAGTATATCTTATTTTTAAACTAACATTTATACTCAAAATGAGCGTATGGGGCAAACAGTAATAATTTCAATAAGTTAAAATTTGACTGGTTCCCTTCTTAAATTATTCTCTTCATGTAAATAGTAATTTTTTCTATAATTATTGAAATACCAGATTTTCTGTCTTGGTAGTTAAGACTTGCAATGCAGATATCAAGTTTTCTTGCACTTTCTTTCTTCTTTTCTGGACGTTTCGAGGAACCATGGCTACTTTTTTCGTAATTCGATGACGTTGTCGCAAAAGGTTCTATTGGTGCACTAGTATCTTTATATAAAAAAAAAGTTTGCAATCTTATAATCGAGTCAGTCAAAATATAAAATAAATGAACTAAAAAGAGATGTAAAAATGAAAAGGTTTTTTTATTTTAAGTAAATTAAAATTTTTTTCACTTATATTAAATTCTTATTTCCCTAAAAATTCATGTCGGGAAACATGTTTTTCATAATTTTCTTATTACCAGGGATTTGCGGTTTTCATTAATTTATCGATAATTAAACTGATAGATTTCATTGGTTCTTTAAAAAAATGAAAAGGGTCCATTTTGTCGGTCATTTGCAAAAAAAATCCTTATTTTAAAAATGGAGGTGTAATTGTCGAAATGAAAATTTAGATATTGCATCAATTTTTTCACAATAAAGACTGTCAAAAAATTGTAAATAAGATTAATATCTATTCCTTTTCTTTAAATGACACAATGAAATAGTACCTAATCATTAATTTTGTAAAAATATTATATTAAGCAACAAGGGTATAAAGGCAGCCATTTGTTTACGGTGATTTTTGTGACACGAGTCGAGGTCGAGGGCGCCCCGAGACCTCCACTCGTGTCACAAAAATCATCGTGAACAAATTGGCTGCCTTTATTCCCGTATTACATACGATATTTTTCATTTCTAATGCACAAAAGTGTCGATTTCAGATAGCAGACGACAGGGAGTAAAAGTCATTTACTTGTTCGACTTGTATGAAAATAGCGGCCTTTTTTACCTTGGGCAAAAAAAGCATGGGACCAACTGTTTTTTTGCCCTTGGAAAAAAATCGCTATTTTCATACGGTCGAACAAATAAATGACTGTTCAAAACAGGCAAAAAGAAGGCTTTTTTAGTATATATTATTAAAATAACTATGACATTTATTTAAAAAATTTCTTTTACATGTAAAAAATAATTTATTTAAGAATTTGTAAAAAAAAAATTTTCATTTTTATTTCAAAATGGCGGCGATAAACGCCATTTTCGAAAATGCCCATTCTCGGTGGTAAGATCGATTCCAAACTTTCTATAACAGATAAAACCAAAAACGAAGTGGCATTCTCTTCGTTAGATATTTCTTTAGGTGTGGAACCTCAAAAAAGTGGAATTTTCTTCCCCCCCTTTTTTTAGAGTACTTTTTCTCTAAAATATGCAAAAAAGGTGTTTTTATTCAGAATTTCCATATAAAATAAAGAGAGTTGGAAATTTTCCAGTTTTTGAGGTTCCACTTATAGGCATGATGACGCTGAATCAAAAGCCGTTTGATTTTTTAAAATCGCTTTAGAAGAACTCGAAATATCACTCTTTCCAGATCAAAAAAAGACATTTTGAGAAAAACGCATTTTAAGTTTTTGTTCATAAGTTTTGAAATTTTTAAAAAAAAATCATCTGATTTGCTTGAAAATCGTTACTCGGGGGTTTTCGAGGTCGCTAATTACGAATATTGAATCAGATTTTTAAAATTCAAAATAGCGAATCCAATATGGCGGACATTCTTTTTTTAAAATCATTGGATTTGCTTGAAAATCGTTACGGGGGGTTTTGGGGTCGCTGATTACGAATATGACATAATTTTTTAAAAATTAAAAATGGCGGATACAATATGGTGGACGAAAAAAAAATTAAAATAAAAAAATTTTCTTTTCCGCCATGTTGGATACCCCATTTTCAATTTTGAAAATTTGATATCTAATTTTTGATCAGCAACACCAAATACATTTTTGTTTGTCTTTTTTAAAAAATGCAAATGAGAAAACATATAAATCATACGATTGCTTATCTGCATACAAAAACATCTTTGACGCATGGCGAAGAATAAGGATGTATAATTTTTGTTTTACTTCGAATTTTGCAATATTATTTTAGGAGAGTATTCTTGACACTATAAAAAATCCGCCATTTTGAATTTAATTTTAATTAAAATTTTCGAAATTATGTGTCAAATGCTTAATAAATAAAGCATTAACTAACAAATTGAAACCAATTCAACGCATGTAACGCGGCAGTGCAACCGCCCGTGAAACTGCACGCTCCATGTCTTTTTTACAGCGCGTAACAGGCTTAAAAAACCATCGGTACACTTCAGAAAGCCTTACCCATTGTTCGAAGATAATTGAATCTTAAATAATTATACGAATTAGTTTTTTAAAATATTTGCGATTGTTCACAACTGGAGGCGGGGTGGGAGTCAAAAATTGATGAAAAATTGTCCATTTGGTTTATGGAACAACGATAAAATTTATACCTCTCACTCATACCTCGTTCTCGATCTGCCTTTCTTTTACTCCTTAATCTATCTGTGAGTGAAAAAAGAAAAATAATTAGCCAATAAGGAAATAAGACGCCCATTTCGTATTTTGGCTTGAAAGTAAAATTCCCCACTTTTCCTTCCCCTATCAAATTCTGTTCCTCTCTTTCTACCTGACACGGAAAATGGAGAAAACATGGTACCCCCTTCTAAACCCAAAAAGTGGGAATTACTTTCTTAACTATTCGTCTCTCTTTCGCTCCTACTCTAAACTAAAAGGAGAGACAATACCTCCCTCCCTCTCTTTCTCTCTCACTGTGAACAGAGTATATAAGGAAAGACTAACTTAATATATATAGATATAAAAGTTGTTCATTTCATGATCATTAAGCTTCCTCAATATAATATATACCAATTGTTTAATTTTTTATTTTAGAATAATTATTTTAAAGTGTTAAGATAAAATGTCAAAAAATACAAAATTTCAATTTTTTGTGAAAATTTAAAATATTTATTAATTCTATAAATTTTGATAAAATATATACTTTATATACATGAATCGATTCGTTTTTATGTCAGGAATGCAATTTTGATAAGAATTAATAAAAATTTTAATATAGAAAAAAGTTACTTCAAAAAATCCAAAAATTATTTTTTCAAAAATTAAAAAATTGTTGAAAAAAATTTTTTTTTTAGATATTTTTGAAAATCCTTTTGTCTGATTTTTGGTATTCGTGACCGTAATACACCTACAAAATTTTATCAAAATCCGTCAAGACGTGTAAGAGAAAATTTGTCCACAAGAATCGGTGACATACACACACACACACATACATACACACACACACACGTATATACGTATATACACACATACATCCGGACATTTGTTCCTCTCGACGAATTATATATACTACACTTGAAAATTTGTAAAAATAATTGGTTCTAAAAAATTCGGAAATCGACATCACTATAAGGCTTCCTTTATGAGGAAGCAATAATAATATTCGCCTCTCTTTCGCTCCTACTCTAAACTAAAAGGACAGGCGATACTTACCTCTCTTTCTCTCTATCAACCTTTCTTTCTCACTGCGGACTGAATGTACACGCTCTGGACAGACTGAATGAAAGAATACGAAGATTATTATAGTTAATAATTTTCATAAAAATCGACGGGGGGTGTTTTGAGATATTAAGAGTTTAACATTTCAAACAGGAATTTCTCAACGATATTGAGAGAAATTTAACCCTTAAACCGCACACTGCCGAATCCATCCTTAAACCGCACACTGGGTGTGCGACACCCGGGGACTTTTAAGTGTGTTCTCCAAGCTGGAATAGGATATTATCTTTTGGAAAAATTATCTTATATAGTAAGAATTTGATGTAATCGATCACACTGAGTCAAGGAATATTATCTTATATATTATATTATATTATATTATATATATATATATATATATATATATATATATATATATATATATATATATATATATTATATTATATTATATTATATTATATATTATATTATATTATCTTATATAGCTCAGTACATCTATTTTGAAGGAAAATAGGTTTCATAATGATTTATTTAATTTTAATAATTAAAAAAGAGTTTTTTAAAACTACTGAAATTACCTTAAACCAAAAACTGGGTGTCAAACAAGCAGAAATTTTTCACCGACAACTTCATAAAGTTATCAAATACACAAAGACACTTGGGAGACTAATGTCTCTCACGGAACATAAAGTTAAGTACAAAATGTATCGTCCAATAACGACACATGTTCAATTTTTACGAATTTAACCGAAATATTAGAGTAAAAAGCTAGAATATGGGTGTCGCACACCCAGGGTGCGGTTTAAGGGTTAAAAAAATAGCAATAGAAAGTTCATGAAATTCAGTTCATATTATGTTATAAATAATTAAATTTTTATATAATAAAATTTATTAGAAAATCCGTTTCCTTGCGATTGCTTTTTGTCCGTGAAACGGTTTGAAATGGAATGCCCCATGTATAACCAAATGTAAATGAATGACATTTACTTATTTAATATAAAAGGTAGTATAATATTGACGCGTTAAATGAAATAAAGTCTTTCTAAACCTTGAATACTGGATGGAATTTCTGGAAATTCATGAAACTTATGTTCTTTATTCTTAATATAAATTTATAAATTCTTCATACTATATTTTCTTCATACTATATATTTTAATACTTATAAAGATTCAGAATTTAAAATTAATTAAAAAATAATGTTTTGTAAGAAATAATATAACTTGAATAATGTTTCAGGTACAATTCGCGAGGTCAATTGATTCACGCTTTGGAGCATAAAAAATTCCAAACATGGTACTTTTACGACGACCGTGGTAGATTAATAGCATGGAACGATGACCGAGAAAATATTACTCAATTTTTCTACACCAATCCGAAAACTCCAGATCTGATAACTCATTTGCATTATCCTAAACTTCAAAAAACTTTTCGCTTTTTGTACGATTCTAGGGATTTCCTTATAACTGTAGAAACATCAGAACAACGTTTTTATGCTGTAACAGATCAAAATGGTTCTCCAATGGCTCTTTTCGATATAAATGGTAATCTTTACAAAGAAATTGGTCGTACGCCATTTGGAAAAATAATCAGAGATACGAATCCAGATTTTTATCTTCCAATTGACTTTCACGGTGGTCTTGTTGATCCTAATACGAAACTTTTATATCTCAACAAGAGATTGTATGATCCAATTGTCGGTCAGTGGATGACACCAGCTTGGGAGCAGATGGCTAATGAATTAACAACACCCACGGATATCTTTATTTATCGTTTTAAAAATAACGATCCTATTAATCTAAAACAGGATATTGAATACATGACGGATCTTTCTAGTTGGCTGAAATTGTACGGTTACGAGACGAGTCGAATGCTTGGTTCGGAGTACACAAAGCAGATGATATTTCAACCAAGTGCAGCGGTTACATCACCACAGTTGACTCCAGATTTTGGTGTGATGTCTGGATTACAGTGTATTGTAAATCGTGTGCATGATAAATTTTCTGATCTTGGATTTATTCCAAAACCGCTACTTAAACTTGAACCGAAAACAAGAAATTTACTACCTAGAGTTGCACATCGTCGTGCTGTTTTTGGTGAAGGTATTCTTTTATCTAGAGCTAGTGGTAGAGCATTGGTTAATGTTGTTGATGGTGTTAATAATGTTGTACATGATGTTGTCACTTCAGTATTTAATAATTCATACTTTTTACCTCTTCATTTTACTATACACGATCAAGATGTATTTTATTTCATAAAGGACAATGCTCTTAAAATTCGCGATGATATGGAAGAATTGCGTCGTTTGGGTAGTATGTTCAATGTCTCGACTCATGAAACAACGGAACATGGTTCTGGCACATGGAAAGAATTAAGATTGTACAATTCAGATGCGGCCGTTATCATTAAATATGGTGCTGATCCTGAACAGGAACGTCACAGAATATTGAAGCATGCGCACAAGCGTGCTGTTGAACGAGCGTGGCAAATTGAAAAACAATTAGTAATTGCCGAATTTCAAGGGAGAGGCGATTGGTCAAAGGAAGAGAAAGATGAATTAATTAGTCATGGTGTGGTCGATGGTTATGAGGGTGTCGACATTCACAGTGTACACAGATATCCTCAACTCGCTGATGATCCGGGAAATGTTGCCTTTACACGTGACACGAAGCGCAAAAGGCGAAAAAGTGGAAACCGTCACAACAAAAATCGAAATCATGATTCTTGATTTGAGAAATTTCAAATTGCCTAAATCGCCTTTACCAAATGGCGTTATGTATTTTCAAAAAAAGCACTCTTTATCTTCGTTGATTTAGAGCAGCACAGAAAGTGCCATATTTTATGATTCCGTCGTATTCTCGAAGAGATAAGCGAGCGGGAATATATGCAGTGTCAAAATTAAAACTAGTCGCATGTTATAATGAGGTATTATAAAATGCTTGTTATGAGATGATTGTTTTTGTCGTCCAATGAAGCGCGTCATTCTGTTACAAGATTGCTCACTCGCAAAAAACCAAACTCTGAACGTAACAGGGTCTCGGACTTGCGATCAATTATTAAAGAAAAAAATTTTTCTCAGATGAGTGCAAGTGTTTGTCCATAAGAGATACACTCAACGAAGTCAAAGAATCACAGAAAAATATTTTTAACAATTTATATGAATATATTGATGAGAAACAATGTAGGTGATGTAAATATGCTATTAATGGAAAAAGTAGGTACTACAGCGAATTCAGATTGACTGAAACTATCGATAAACGCTTTTTTATATAAAAAAAAGAATTTGTATGTGTGAGTCCACTCAATGATTATAGAAAAAAAGTTTTGAATAGAAATATTGATGAAAACGAGAGTTAATAGTTGAATTTTTATTGAATGAAGAAATTTTTGCAGTTAAATTTTTTTTATTAATAACACTCGTGTTTATCAAAAGTTTCTTGCAGAATGAAATGTGTAATGTCAAATTTACATACAAATGTAAATACTTCGATATACATAATAGTATACTAAAGAATGTTAACATGTAGTGCATATATACAGTGGAAAAGTAACTAATTATTCAATATTACAAGATAAAAAAATGGATAGTTGTTACATTTTTCTGTATAAACACTAAAAGTGTCCGTTAAAATTGTTTTTTCGAAATTTTTCGATGCAATTAAAAAATCAATGTAGAAGAATATTTTCTATAAAATTTAAACCAATCAATTAATGTTAACAGTTAACTATAATCGATTAAAAACAAAAAAAATCTAATAATATTTTTGATAAGTAAGAAACTAAAAAAACTGATAATTACCGTTCAAGATTCTGCTTTTTATGAATTTCCATTATCAAACAATTTTTTGTATTCTTTAAATGGCGTTAAAAAAATATTGAAATTTATACATAGTAAAATTTTGAGTCTTGTTTTTAAAAATAGACTTGCGCCTCGAAATTTATGCAAAACTAGCCGTTTTCCATAAATTATGATAACAAATTTTTGCCTTGGGAATGGCAGAATATTTTTTAAATTTGTCCATCTGATTTTAAAGGAAATTCGAACATTCATTATATGTAAATTTAAATATAAATGTGATGCTCACAGTGGAACGTCAAAACATTCTTTTTCTAACTTTATTTAAATAGTGCAAATCAGTGATATAATATAATGAAAATATAATATAAAAATCATAAATTTGATTTATTTTTCGCAGAAGCAAAATATGTTTTTATTTATCAAAAATTACTTTTTTGTTAAAATATTAATAAAAAAGAAAGATTTTGATATATCCGCCTAAAACTATAAAATATTTAGAAACTTTGAAGCCTAATGTTTTCAAATATTTTCATCATTAAGCTTACATTATTTAACTGAATTTTAATACCGTTTTAAAATTCAAATAATACAACTCTTTTGATATTGAAATTCTAAATTTCATCACAAATTTTCTGTGTTCAGGTACTTTCGATGTTTATAATAATATTGTTTTGTTAATTTTTGCAAAATTTTATTAATTAATTAAAATCTATTTTACCACTATAATATACTATACCTATCTATACAGTAATTCTAACTTAAAAACAAAACATAAAATGTGTTTTCTTATTTTATTCATGTTAAATTAATATCTATTCGGATCGAAACATCTTTTTCAGGTAATAATTCACGTTAAGTATCTCAGGTACAAACTTACACTTATATATTATATTTGAAAGTTAAAACTGAAATTGTTTTTAAACATAATAAACGGTGGCTAAGCATAAGAATCATTTTCAAAATACACTTTGAATTTAAGACAATTAGTTATTTAAAAAAATGTATTTTATACAATTATTGCACAACTCAAAAAGTTGATAAATAATTTATTGTGAAACACTTTAAAAGTTTTTTTTAAATGTTATGGTTTCTATAATGTTGAAAAACGATATTCAAAAAGAAATTTTTGATAAAACTATAAAATTGAGAATAAAAAATTTTAATTATTATAAATAAATTTCGGTAAAAATTAATGTGTTAAAAATATTTCAAGTTATTATGTTGACAGATAACTTAGATAATTTTATTTTATTTAGAATAGTATTTAAATGTTTAAATTTTTAGATTTGATTTTCCCATAAAAAGTTATTTTTGTTCTTCTAAAGTAAAAAAAAATTGAAATAAATTGTAATCTCTAGATATTTTAATTTTTCTTTGAATTAATAATTATTAAATTTTGTGGATTTTACACATAGTCGACTTAGAAAGTTAAATAGTAATTAATTTTTAAATATATTTAAATTGTTTTAAATTTCCTGTAAATAGTTTCCGCTAAATGACATATGAATAAAAATTTTGAGATAGGGACTAATGGCTGTTCAAAACATTAATTTTAAAGGAACAGCAAAAAATAATTTTGCTTACGTTTACTTTAACTTGTATATTGTTTAAAAAATATAAGGACATGTATTTTATTAATTTTTTCGTTTTAATAATTTTATATAATCGAAAACATTTTTTGTCGTTATACCATATAAATGCAAAAATTTTGTAAATTTTTTTAAATGAAAATATTGTTTGTAAAATATACATGAAACATACTCTATCTCATTTTTAATCTTTGACATTTATTTATTATATATAGAACACTAATCTTACAAAACGAAGAAATTTTATTTGTAATTATAAATTGGTTTATCTGAATTTTCTTATAGTTGTATATTTTTAATGTGCTTCCTGTATTTTTAATGTCAAACCTTCCCTGTCAAATTTATGTGAACTTTAGATAAATACTTGAAACAGAAACTGAAAACTATCAATTTCAATAAGTTTTAATTTGAAATATATATATCTGATATTGTGATGTAGTATTAAAATGATTTAAAATAATTTATTTAATTTTTAATAAGACAACTGATAGCTGGAGCAGTGATAATATACAAATGGTGCTCTTTATTTAAAAAAACGTATATATCGATTTCTAAAATTTGTTAACATTAATTGAGTGAATACAAATTCGTTCAAAACTTTTTCTGTACATTGATTAAAAAAAGATGGGTGACAAAAAAATCGAAAAAGTGTATTAACAGACATCTTAATAAACACATAATATACGTACACTAACGGCAAGAAATATAAAATCATTAGAAAAAATATATTTAAAATTCAACCATTTATTTACACTAATAAATGCAAAAAGAAATGATTTTAAAAAATTGACTAAAATTTTACAAAAAATTGTTATTTTTAATTAATAATTTTTAACAAATAATTATAAAAATAGTTCACAAAAACTGTCATTTTTAAAAAATTTTAATTGGCCGTTTTTTTTTTAAATTTATTGTAGAATTTACATAGACAAATTAGTAAAGTAGCATACATTTTCATGTAAAGTTTTCAGAAGATGGAAATTTTGTTAATTTATAAACATTTCAAACACTACATTTCATTAAACTGACGATTTTACTACTTAAATAAAGCAACTTGACTTTTTGTAACCACTGTTTTTTTATGTATTTGTTCGAAAGTATAAAACCTGGCTATTTTACTAGCTGATCTCTAGACTGAATTTCTGCTAGAAGAGTTTTGGATAGTATCCTACTCTCTACTTACTTTAACCTTAAAAATTATATGCTATACAACAAACCAAAATTTTTTGTACTATAGTAAACTACTAAATAAATCGAGAAAGATTTGTCACGCCGTATCTTATGCATTGTTTTAATTTCCCCAATAAGTCAATTATAAATTAAATTTTTAATATTTTTATTTTGATAGTAATAAAATAACTATTAAGAATCAAACATATTTTGCCTCAAACCCAGAAAAAAGGCTTCTTTGCTTTGAAGAAATTTTGTTTAAATAAAAAAAATTTGTGCATTTTTATAGACCTCGAGAACAAAAAAGAAAAATTCATATCGCATAGCCACGCATCTTGAAAGGATCTTAAAAACAAGGTGATAGGGGAGAGTCTCCAGTTGTGAGACGGGTTTCATTTTTGACCCGTAAATTGTAAACGGGTAAACGAAATTGTAAATAAAATACACCGTTCGAAAGGTAACAGAAATACGCAACTTTCATTAAAAGAAAGTGTAGTGTTTCGATTAACTCAAAAAATTTTACGATACATTTTCCGAGCACATCGCTTTTGTCAAAAAAAAAAATGTCTCCAGTTGTGAGACACTCATTAAAAATTGATAAAATTTAATAAGTTTGACATAAAACGTTATATGTTTAGTATAAATAATTAAATATATTAATAATATATATTATTATATACTAAATAATAATATTTATTCGCCAAAATATGACTATCAAATAAACACAATTTAATAGCTTCAACAAGAGCATTAAAATTGATTTCTTCTGAATCAATTGACTTTTTTCCACTTGACATGCCCAAAAATACTAGAAAAAAATCAAAACATTTAAATAGTATGCCTGCAAAGTCGTATTTTCTATGCTGCCCAGATGGGTGTTGACACCGTCTCACAACTGGTGATATGCTGTGTCTCACACCCAGAAATTGGCGCTATTTTGAAAAAGGAAAATTAAATTATTTTCAACTGTAGATTGGAACAATGCAATATTGCATCACAAAATATAAGGAAAACACTAAAAGAAAATGCATTACATTTACCTTTTCCAATTAATTAACTTGGAAAAAAAGTACTTTGCATTTATTGAAAAAACGCTTTTTAGTCGATTATCACACACAGTGTTGGTATTTAACAAAAACAGTTTATATATATCCGCTTCGGCGTACACGAAAAAGTTGGCTCATATAAAAAGAAATGTTTTTATATAAACCAATCGGCTTTTTAATATTGCATGTTAAAAAAAATTGACTGTCTCACAACTGGAGGTGTCTCACAACTGGACACTCTCCCCTAAGTATCTGTACAGAAAGGCTTTAACTTAAAAAAAATATTTAATTGATTTAAAATAAAAACATCAAATCAATAATTTCTTTGAATAATGTTCGCTTCTTCTTTGTTTTAAAGAAATTTTTCATTAGATTAAAGATATCAATATTGACAAAAAAATGTTTGTCATTCAAAACATTTATAAATTATTTTTTTATCCCACATGCACAAAAATGGCGCTTTTAGATAGCTGACGACAGGGAGTAAAGTCACTCATTTGTTCGACCATATGAAAATGGCGTCCATTTTCTCCCAAGAGGCAAACATAACAGCTGATCCCATGCGTTATTTTTGCCCATGGGAGAAAACGGCCGCCATTTTCATATAAGTCGAACAAGTGAATGACTTTTACTCCCTGTCGTCTGCTATCTGAAATCGCCACTTTTGTGCATTAGGAATAAAAAATATCGTAAGTAACACGGGAATAAAGGGAGCCAATTTGTTTACGATGATTTTTGTGACACTCGTTCCGGTCTCGGGCGCCTACGGCACCCTCGACCTCCACTCGTGTCACAAAAATCACCGTAAACAAATGGCTGCCTTTATACCCTTGTTGCTTAATATACTATTTTGTAAAAGAAAATAAAATTTTTTAATACAAACAAATTTAATTTTCAATTTAAAAATAAATAGAAAAATATTTCTTTATTTCAAACAAATCATTTTTTAGGTGCACTTGATCCACTTCCCGATAAGTGCCTGATAAATTTATATGGAAATTTGTTTCTTCACAACAAAAATAAATCTTTAGGATATCTTGAACAAATGCAAGATGTCCTTACAACTAATTATTTTTGTTCATTTAAAAAATTATTAATTTAACTAATTATTATTTATTATAATTTTGAGATCTTAAGAATCCCAATTACATTAAAATTTAATTAAGAATTTAAAAACAAAATTGATTATTTCAAACAAATCATTTTTTAGGTGCACTTGATCCACTTCCCGATAAGTGCCTGATAAATTTATATGGAAATTTGTTTCTTCACAACAAAAATAAATCTTTAGGATATCTTGAACAAATGCAAGATGTCCTTACAACTAATTATTTTTGTTCATTTAAAAAATTATTAATTTAACTAATTATTATTTATTATAATTTTGAGATCTTAAGAATCCCAATTACATTAAAATTTAATTAAGAATTTAAAAACAAAATTGATTAGATATGTAGATTGAATTGATCACTCGGATCCACAACGGTCACAAGTGATAATAAACACACCATCAATATTTAAATTGGTTTCAACGATCCACCAAAGGAAACTTTTATAATTTTTTTAAAATTTGTTAATAAATTTTTAGCTTTTGAAGAGGACGGCTGTGCCGTTGAAACG